ATTATTATTATTATTAAATACTCATTAAAACATCAGCATGTAATTGTGGGGACTTTCTCTTGTCAGGTCTTAACTTTACAGTATAAAGTGACTTGAGGGGATTGTTGTGATTTAAGATAAGATAAGATAAGATAAGATAACCTTTATTAGTCCACACGTGGGAAATTTGTTTTGGCATTATATGAATAAAACTGACTTGAATTGAATTGTTCTGAATCAAATAAATTATTTTTTCAAAACTAACCTGCTTATAGATACAAAACCTTCACTTTTTTAAATCACACCAGCATGGTTTATTGCTGTTTGCTGATTTGAAGGGTGCTATATCCATTTTATTGGCCTTACACGTGTGTTCAAAAGGCCAACAGCTTCCAGATAGGCGCCTGCAAATAACCAAAATTGAGTTAAGTCAATTTTAATTTAATTCAGTCAGTACCAAATCTCCACGATAGCCCGTGGGCACCTCTGATTGTAAGACCCACACAGTAAAAGGTCCCATAGCAATAATATTCTCAAGAAGCACTATATGTTACCGGTTCATACACACGTATTTATTATAAGTTGTTGTAATTATAGGACCTCCCTCCCAGTAAATGCTTTAAGAAGCAGCTCTTTAAACAATAGGCTTAAGATGATCCAGCATTAGTGGCATCATTTTAAAAGCCACACCTCACATACCATTATATCATTTGTCACTGGTTCCGCCCATTACTATAATAGTGTCATCAACGAGCGCGCGCTGCCCGCTGTGTGTAGACGGCTTCACGTGAGTCACCGTGATGGCCAGCAGCTCTGATGTGGTGAAGAAAATCATGAGGCTCAAACGTCAGCTCTCAGACAAAGCAGATCCTGCTACGGTAGTTATCGTTTGATTTAAACGGTTTAAAACGTTTTTATAATCCCAAAAACCCGGAAAGTTTTGAATAATTATTTCACCGCTGTTTTATTACCGGCTGAACAAATCCCACCTGCTTTAGTCATGGCTTTGTCTAATCATTGGCTCACAACACCTGCTGCCACATCGGGCGCTATTTAAAAAAATGACTTTGTTCCCTTAATGAAAATTATGAAGCTCAATTAGATTTTTGTTTTTGTATATATTTTGTATTAGTATATGTGTGAACAGAAGCTGAGCTGGCAGTGTTTCCCTGCCGCTTTCACACAGCACTGAAAATCCTTTGATTTGGAGTGTGTGTGTGTGTGTGTGTGTGTGTGGGGTGGAGGGTCAGGCTGTTTAAACTGGAGGCGCTTGGCTGCTGCTAAAAATGGCAGCTCCTGCAGTTGTTCAGCTTATGCCTGCTGTCCATCATCAGTGCACTGCAGGCAACTTTAACCACCTATGCCTGTGCCGTATAAGCCTTCTCATATCGTCTTTGTATCCCGTGGATCAATTTTCAGTTGAGGAATTTACACGCAAAATCTGTAAATGACCAATTTAGCTTTAAAGACATAAGCTGGTGCTACTACTACCACCTCCCATCAGCCAGCCACGGCTATATCCATTTATAGTTCAGGGTAAAAGGAGCAGTCTAAGTGGGTGTGTAAGGTCCCCATACATAGGTTCTGCTCTAAAATGCACAGTCAGCTACTGTGGCAATCCAAAACCAGGACTGCCATATTTGGCAAGTCAGTTTATCTTCGACAGAGGTCCCATTCTAGGTACTTTTTAACCAAAAACAATCAATCGAATCACCTTTATGTTGACAAAAATGCTTGAACATTATGAAATGCACCACAGCATGGCTGCAGGCAGTGGGGATAATATGCTTGTCACTCTTTCCAGGTTCTAAAAATCTTGCAGAAACTCAAGGATCTGGATATCACTTTAGATGTTCTTGCCGTGAGTCTCTTATTCACAGATTGTTTTTTTTTGTTGATGTACATTGTGGTTGATTTTCATTTTTATTCCCCTGATAATGGTCTGATCATCAATTAGGAGACTGGAATTGGCAAAACTGTTAACTCCTTACGCAGACATGAACAGGCTGGAGAATTAGCAAAGTCTCTAGTAAAAGGTTGGAAAAAGCTGCTCTCCAAAGAATCCACAAGGTAAAGTGCATTTAACAATAAAATATTGCTTCTTAATTTTATGTGTTTAGCAGCTTAATCTTGAATTTTCATTCTCCGCAGCCGTGGAGAAGATGGGACTTTCTCTGAGAGCCTTTCTGTGCAAGACAAACTAGATGATCAAAGCAGTCCAAATAATGGAAATTTGGAAATGGAAGATGTGAACAATAATCTTCTAACATCTCATCACAGTAAGAATAGTGATTCTTCAGATGACGGCAACTTTAAAACGGGGAAAAGGAAAATGGATTCGCAGAAAGGACAATGTGAGGGACGGAAAAGAAAAACAGACTGTGAGAAAAGTCCAGAAAACCAGTACGTCTCCCGGCACGACGTGTTAACACAGAAGGACAAAATGGACAAGAAGAAGAAAAAGGATCGGAGCGACCGAAAACCTGGAGACTGCGATCGTCTGCTCGGAAACAAAAACTTGAAGGAAAGCCAACAAAAATCCAGATCTGATTCCAGAGAGAAATGTAAAAGTGCCTCTGAGAGTGGGAGGTTCGGGTCAGACAGGGAGAAGAACACAAAATCAAAGCTTTCGAAAGAGTCGAGGGGAGGCAAGGAGGATGACAGAATGTCAGGAATGTTGAGAAGCTCCGACGCCCAAAAGAGAAAAACAAAGCATACAACTTCGCTGGAGTCTGAAAGGGAACCTTCAAAACACAAGAAGGCGAAAACGAATGAGACTAAAAGTGATCCAGAGGAGCCCTCTATGTCTTTTGAGTCCTACTTGAACTATGATGTGACTGTTTACAAGAGAAAGGAGCGATCTGGAATGAGAAAGCCGCCCAAAAAACCCAAGATGATTCCCAGTGAGCAACAAATAAAAGATCCTGTAATTAAAAATATGGAGTTGGCCCCAAAACAGGTATATTTGTCAAGAATCTTTGCTTACGGAGAAAAGGCCAACTTGCTGATGCTGATTAACAATGCCTCATTATTTATAGAAGTTTCTGGAGCCTGTAATGCACCTGATGAACATTCCTTTGCCTGCTGCTTTACCTGAATGTGACAAGCCCTCCAGCTTTGACTACTATGAAAGGAAAGGTACACGTTCAGTAAATGCAGGTGTATTTTCAGCTTTATCATTTGGCTCTTGACACCTCTGCTTTCGTTTTAAAGTGGAGAAGGAGCCTGTGGAGCCTGATGTCTGTGACGTCTCTGAGGAGTCTGCAGTCTTCACCGGCCAGCGTCTCAACAGGAAGATGCAGGTGTACTCTGGTGCCAAGACCGTTTTTCTCCCAGCCATGCTGAGCTTGTACCAGCAGTGTATCCGCACCCTCCAGAACAACATTAACTGTGAGTGAAGCCCAGGAAGACATTTTTTCCTAGGCTCTGTTGGTTTATGTCTGATTTAATAATTAGGTGCAGGCATCTCTTCTTAGTGCTTTATGAAACTGGCGGGATCCCGTTTGAAATCCTCGAGCCTGTGTTGGAGAAGTGTACCCCAGAGCAGCTGCTACGCATCGAAGAATGTAACCCAGTAAGAAAGTGACACGCCAACATGTTTAGTGCAGAACAAAACCTTGTGGCCACTTTAATAGGTCTACCTGACCAGCAGTGGGTTTACTCCTCCCAGTTTGTACCTGTAAATCTGGGTTGAAAGCCTTGTTTATCTGCTTTTCCTTAACCACCTAATCATTACTGTTTGTGATATGGATTAAGAAATCAGTTTTAAGAGCTTCATGCCCCTTTCCCAAAAAAAGCAAATATTTACCCAATAGGAGTCAGGTGATCTACCACGTAACCTGAATATTTGTGGATATAATTTTTATGATAATGATCTAATGATAAGTACACAAATATAAATCTGGATTTAAAAGGTTAGCATTTTTAACTGCACTACTTGAGGCAGGGCTGTGAGGAACTTTGATTTTCATTATACTTCCTGGTTGGTTATTAATTTATTAAATACTTTTCAGTCTATCTGGTATCAAAAGGTGAAAAGTGCACAATTAAAGTTCCCATTTTTACATCTTATGTTTGTTTAGAGAAATGGACCCTACAATAATGTGAAATTGGAGAAAAACAGAATACCCATGAGCTGGGATTGTGAAATTGGGCAATCGGTTTATATTTTATATGAAAGGACAGTTACACAAATTCTTCCAAATTAGTTTTTTGATCCTCTAGTCAAAGTTTTTTTTCAGTCGTCCTCCTTGGCTATCAGTACAACAGATGATCTTTTTCATATAGGCAAGATTCAACATGTTTTTGATACTGCCTATGTGTCTTCTCTGGGCTTTGGCTAATAAGGTGTACACCTTCAGTCAACAGAGAAGTCTAAACTTGCGTGCCAATGGAAAGTGCATCTTTGTGAGAGGGCTCCCACACTTGGCATCGATGATCGAGCCACATTCAAACTTTTAGACTGCGCACGTCATGCAGAACAATGTTTATTTGAATAACCTAACCTTCTGACCTCATTATGCTTTATTTATTTTGT